AGGGGATCGGAGTTCTCGAAAAACAAGCTTAAACATCCCGCTAGTTTCAACCTCATGAACGCTATGGGGCACGGTTTCGGAGCTCGACTAAGTATTGCGTATGGAGAGGGGACTTTTAAGTGTCTGTGTTTGTAAAGAAGGATCAGAGATCCAGGAGTGGACTGACAGCACTGGTTACAAGGCAACTGTTCTGGACCCGGCGGGATCCAGTCCTCCTTAGGCGCAGACACGTAACCCTTGGCCCGGCTGTCACCCAGGCGTGGAGGGGCGAGGCCTTAAGAACTGTCCAATCAGGGGCGGCGGCGGTGCGGTGGGTGGGGCATCGCTCCGCAGCCTCTGCAGAGGTCCTCGCTTATTTCAGCCTTGCTGGGTAGCCCAGGTCCCCTTCTTTCAGGGGACGCATTGCCGTGGCCTTGTTTGTGTTCCGCTGTGATTCGTGTGCCCGCGGGAGTTGAAGGAAGGCCATTGGGTAATCCAGGAAACGTAGAAATGGTGGTTGCGCCCGCGGAGTCTGATGACCGGGTAGAAAGTGTCGCTCGAAACAGGCGCCAACCAGCCGTGGTCGAAATCCTCCCCGTGGTCACCTCCGGAGTCTGCGGACCCGAGTCCCCCATGGCGCCGCTGGGACCTCGGTCGCCTCCGGCGAGGGGCGTGGGGACCGCACTCGGTCCCTGCGCGCCACGATTTCGGCCCTGAAGCATTTGATCAGCTCTGCGCCCGCTTCGTCTCACGGGGAGAGTTTCCATGGGACAAGCGTGACTCTTTTGCGTTCGTGTGTGGGAGGAGCTGTGGTCTGTGGGGTCCCCGGTCCCTCCTTTGTCCCCACCGGGAGCCCATTTTCTCCGGAGTGTTCCAGATGTTTGGGAAGCAGTGTCTGAAATCCACCAGCCTGTTTCGCCAGCCAAGCTCTCCGACGCCTGGCAGTAAATGCCTGTTTCAATTACCTCCCTGCCTGCCCAAACGCCAGATTCCCATCATTACCAACTATTTGTTCTCGGTGGTGCAATTCAAACGGTCCCAAAGTTTTAATTGTTCATCATTTTCCCACAGTCAATAGATGGCTCATTTTGTCCGTAGATATTTACATCCGAAGAAAGCAGAGAATAACTGCTTGGAACTACGTTTGGAAAATTCTTGCACTTCTCCCAGGATCTTTCCTGGGCACGGACATCCTGTGGGAAGTCCTTTGGGTGGCGGTCCTTCTTGGGAGAATTTTCCCGAATGATCTGCCCTGTCAGCAGGGTTCCACAGTGGGACTGCCCCAAACTAAGTTAGTCACCTTTAAATTTTACTCATTTTTGGGCGCCTGGGTGGCTCAGTCGGTTAAGTGTCCGACTTCGGCTCAGGTCATGATCTCGGGGTTCCTGAGTTTGAGCCCTGTATCAGGCTCTGTACTGACAGCTCAGAGCCTGGAGCCTGCTTTGGATTCTGTGTCTCCCTCTCTCTCTGTTCCTCCCCCACTTGGGCACACACACACTCTCTCTCTCCCTCTCTTAAAAGTAGATAAACATTAAAAAAATAATTTAAAAAATTTACTCATTTTTAGTATCAGTTTTTTAATGAATGAAAATTTATTTCATCAATACAACTTCAAACAATATAGAATATTAACCAGGAGGTAAGGAAAGGGTGTGTTTCAGAAAAAAAAAAAAATTCCAGTACTACATTGCTTGTATTAGAAATTCTTTAAAGAAATAAAATAAATTCGTTTAAAATATAATTTTATTTAATTATTTATTTTTTAGTTGGAAAAAAAAAAAAGGCTTTCTTTCTTTTATTTATTTTATGTAAGCTCTACACCCAACGTGGGGCTTGAACTCACGGCCCCCAAGATGAAAAGTTGTATGCTCTACGCAGTGAGCTGACAGATGCGCCTGCTTGTATTAAAAATTCTCGTTCCCCCTTTTTCCTCTCCGCATTGGTAGTAACATTCTTTTGTGGTTTTTTTAATGATTTTTTTTTAAACGTTTATTTATTTTGAGAAAGAGAGAGAGCCCTTTATTCTGAGAGAAGCTGCAGGCTGGTGGAAATCTGGGATGGCACTCGGGGTGGGTGGGGCTACGAGGCAGTCGAGGCCTTTCTGGAGTTGTAGCTCTCATGGCCTTGGGCCTGTTCGTAGGCCTGGTCTTGCACGCCCGGCGGAGGTGCGCTCAGTATAAATCACGTCCGTCGAGAAGTCTGTGAAAGTCCAGTTCTGTGTCCTGGAACC